TCCCCCCCCATTTTTTTCCTTATTCTAAAGAAAGCCCTTAACACAAAAGCAGTGACTAATCAATAGAAACTGCTCCTTCATCATCATCTCCTCCTCCTCCTCCTCCTCCTCCTCCTCCTCCTCCTCCTCCTCCTCCCCCCTCCTCCCCCTCTCCTCCTCCACTTACTCCTCCTCCAGGAGGGTGACGCTTTTCCTGTTTGGGAGTTTTGGGAAACATTTTTGCTCTGTGCCGTAATGGAATTAGAGGACAGATGAGGACTGTAAATGGACACGCGACTGCAAGATTGTCGCTTAAATATTTAGATGCAACGTTACAATTACCGACTTGTTGCAGCGGCTTTGAAGTGGCGCTCGGGGGTTCAGGGGGAGAGAGGCCAGATCGCCGAATTGATGTTTTGATTGGAGCTGCAGATACACTGCACGGGACTCTCCCCCTTTTAAAATCGCAGTGAGCGTGGGAGGTTTGCAACAATTTCAAAGGTTGAGCTAAGAGACCCCAAGCAGAGGTCGGTTGGGGCTCATACTCCTTTCACATCTCTCCCTTCCTTTTTGACATTTTTGAAAAACGGTGCTGCTTTTTTTTAATTTGAGAAAGTCAAAGTGACAAAAGTTTTGCTCGAGTCCTCGCGCTTCCAGTTTGCGCACTTGAGCGCTTCTAAAATTAACGAGATCGCCGTCAGCCTTCCAGTGAGGCATAAGCTAAAGCAGTTAAACACGCAAAGTTTTAAAGGTCCTCGAAGCGTTTCGTTTCCAGCGGAATCATGAAAAGACCACTTTATGTTGACGGCAGCGCCACTAAAATCAAGGGAAAGAGCTTCTTCTCCGCGCTACCCCCCTAACCAACCCCCTCCCCCAGTAAGCAGGGAAAGGCAATTTGGCGCGAGGCTAGGGGATGGTGGACGAACTTTCCCACAGATTAAAATCAGTAGGTGTAAGATCGTAGGTTTGTGGCATCGGAGCCGTTCTAGAAGTGGACAGCCCCCTCTCCAAGTCCATTTGTCAGAATCACGAATTTGACGCCAGCGTCGTCGAAGTCTTTAGAGAAAATGTCCTATTTTCCGAAGTCCTTGCAACACTCAACACTGCAGGTTAAAAAATGCATTAAAAATGTCAGAACTCGAATTAAATTAGAACACCACGCTGGTTCCCCCCTCCACCCCCCCCCCCCCCCCCCCCCCAAAAAACCAAAGGGGGAGGGGTTTTTTCCCTGGAAAAGAGGAAAAAGAAACCGCCCAATTCCGGAGTTCGGTTTTTCTATTTCCCGGGT